AATTCTTCTCTACGAAAAAACTTCCTACATGAATGTCCCTCTCAATTAGGACTCTCCTAACTAGAGTCCTAACAGAATGTCCCTCTCAATTAGGACTCTCCTAGCTAGAGTCCTAACAGAATGTCCCTCTCAATTAGGACTCTCCTAGCTAGAGTCCTAACAGTTTTACATGAATGTCCCTCTCAATTAGGACTCTCCTAGCTAGAGTCCTAACATTTTTACATGAATGTCCCTCTCAATTAGGACTCTCCAAGCTAGAGTCCTAACATTTTAGTTGTATACACTACAAGTGTTCATATTTACCTTTTCTGTTGAATTCATTTACTCGTGTGTGTGTGTGTGTGTGTGTGTGTTGTACTATTTGTACATAGTTCATAGAAGAGTGAAGTTTTGCTACTATTAACATTAGGTCAAATGTTGGCACTGTTTAACACTCTTTTTTACAATGATTTTCTCTATTTATGCATATACAATCAATACCATTGATCGAGTGATTGCTCCTTTTGTTTATTCAGGTCTGGGGAACATTTATTATGCAGAAGAAGTATAATGGGAAAGACTATCTATTTGCTCTGCTTGTGACAATTGGTTGTGCTATATTTATTCTATCCCCAGTAAGTATAATCTTAAGTTTAAATCTTTTTTTAACTTATGCTAGTTAAATTGTCTTTTTAATCAACAAAATGTTTCTCAATCACCTTCTTCTATGAATTTGCTTGTTTATGTTGGCTTTACATAAAGATCCTAGAACAGATAGTTGATGTATCAAAGGGATATGTACATTTTTTTAAATTTAGTTGCCAATGATATAGAATTTGACAGGCAAGCCTAATAAATTAATTTTAGGAATAATTTTTAATACTGCCTCACGATTGTTGCCAGCTTCATCCCTTGTTGTTGCTCCCATCTTTATCAGAGTTGTATTATTGCATTATTATTAGTACTTTGATATCATTAATATTTATTGGGTTCACCCAAACCCAAGTCAAACACATGGGTTAGGTGCATGTTGAGGTTTCCTAACCTGATTATGACCGGGTCATGTATGAAACTACTTAATGTACTATTTACCTACTTGATCCATGGTGTCTAACTGTCTATGTCATGTTAAATGCTAAATATGCTAATGTCTCATGATTAAATTAATAGAAGAAGAACGTATCTCAAGTATAATGTCTCAATGGAAAGAGGGTGTTACATAAGAAAGACCATTGATGGTTTACTAAATGTTCTGGACTTTTTGTGGGAACCATTTAGTGTTAAATGTCACTATAAATCAGAAGTTGTTATAAATCAATGCAACTTGGAAACTAAGTATAACATTTTATTTTCTGCAAATTATAATCATAACATGAATAATTAGTTTTAAGTTTTTCTAAGATTTCTTGCTGCAATACAATTGGTCTGTTTAACCAACATTCATACATAAGGTAGATTCCAAAGCCTGCTCCCCTTTGTGTGTTCGGAGATGTTACCAAGTTTTAAAGCTATGGTCAAATACTGGTTTCAGCACCTTGTCAGACTGAAATGATATATCAGTATGCCAAGCTGTTGTAAAAAATGAATGCCGACCAGTAATGAATGATATGATTTCCTACGTACCAACGGGTAATTGAAGCCTTGCGTGCTAGTAATACATGTAGAACTAAGGTCAGGACATCTAGATGATCAAATTTGGGAGGTGTTTTAGATAAAGGGATCAGGTTTACTGAAGTAATTAGGAGCCACTTGACTATGACATCCTTTGTATGTAAATGCTCCTGTGCCTAATGTCAAAGATAATTGTACTGAAGTTTAAAAAAAATGTACTGAAGTCCTTTTTCTACATTCAAAATTCTCAAAGGTCCAAGCCAACCATAGACTAGGAAAAATTGACTATCTTGATATATGTGATTCCAGGATACAAATTTCTTGATATAAATGCAAGATTCTTGCAGCTTTTAATATATGTAAGCTTTTTTGTAGCTTTCATCTATGCCAATCTTTTATCTTGGTACACTATACCAGAAATATCTTATGGTGTTTCTGGTTAATGGGTGATCTTACCATTGTTACCTGATACATGCGAGGGATGTGGATGGTGCATGAACTTGATTCTTAGTAGATTAAGAAAAAGATTCTATGTAAACAATCTTTTTTCAGCTTGATGAGATTTACTTCTAAAGATTTTGACCTCAGAATAATTGTTTTGTTGTGTCTCAATGTAGGCATCAGCTGACATTACCGCATATAATACAGGAAGAGAAAGCACCATTTGGGGAGTTTCACTTATGCTTGGTTATCTTGGGTATTTCCTATTAGTTGCTAATTTAGTCTTTTTCTGAGTTTATCATACTCGACATTTGTTTGGTATTCCGGTCCTAATATCTTTGGTGCTCGGTGTTTATATGAAAGAATATGTTGTTTCTTCTGCATGTCTGCAAAACTGAATATAATATGATTGTTCGTGTTAAATTGACGAGAGCTTGTGACTGTTATGATCTGATGATCTATTCGTTTCAGTTACTTTTTCATTTTCAAAATGGATTTTAGTGATTTATTGCAAATAAATTTTATTAAAATTTAGTCAGAATTATTCTGTTAAAACTTAATATGTCATGTAGTTTGGTATATGCAAGCATACGTTTAGTATGAGTTCTGTGTAGGGGTGTTAGCGGCATATATGTATCTAGTTTTGTGGACTCTGTTTAGACTGTTTAATGACCTGGAGCAACTTACTGAACCAAAATAAAACTAGCATTGTAAACCAGCTCTTCTAATTGCATGAGGTCATGATATTCTAGGGATTTCAATGTCTGATCATTAGTTTTCTGGACATTGTTTACTGACAGCTCTATCTTGCATACCGTTTTTCTTGTTTTGTCATATTTTCTTCATTTAACTCAGGCATTTTTAAGATTTATTTATCTTCTAGTATGCACCCTTTTCAATTAACAAATTGTTTGACCATCTTGCCTACTGGTATACAACCACAGAGAAAAAATTTGCATTGGTTTTTTATCCTTCTGGTTGCTTATGAATTCAGATCATTGCCACACAAGTGTTTATGTTTCATCATTTTCATTCTTTATTGTGTATTTACAGGTTTGATGGCTTCACCAGTACATTTCAAGACAAACTTTTTAAGGGATATGACATGGAAATACATAATCAGATATTCTACACCACCATATGTTCATGTCTCCTCAGTTTAAGTGGTACTAGTTTTGATTATGGTTATAATTTATTCTGAACTCCTCTGGTTACATCTTTTTCTAGACAATGATGCATGGTTAAAAGATTTCCTGCCTATCTTTACCTTTGCAACTGGAACGTATATATCGTTTGTCTTATGCAAATTTGTCATGTCTTCAAGTAGGCCTATGTAACTTTTGTTGGATGAGTCTCCTTTGGTTATCATAATATATGATATGTCTTCTTCACCAAGGGAAAATATAAAAGAACAGGTGTAGGTAATGAGCATTGACCAAGATGTACAAACTATACATAGCATATTCATACCAACCTGCTTAAGTTTCAACATGGATTTTTATATTATGCCAAGGGTAGATTGGTTCAGTGATTTTAAAAGCACGAGGTGCTAAGGTTCCAAAATGCCCGAGGTTTTAGGCACTCGCCCAAGCGAAGCGAGGCACTCTAAAATATAAAAAAAATATAAAAATACATAATATAATTGATAAATATGATTATATAAATAAAAATATGACATTAATTGCTGTTAACAGTAGATTATCTACTGTTAACAATAGTTAGAGGGGAGAAAAGAGTCATGGACAGTGGAAAGTGGGGAAGGAGAGGGCAGCGGTGACGGAAGAACTTTTGAACGACGACGGTGGTGGAGGAAGCTATGGACGATAGTAGTAGCAGCGGAGGAAGCTGTGGCTGATAGCAATGGCAGAAGTTGCGGACAACGATGTTGTGGGTGGAGGAAACTTTAGAGGTGTTCGTCGATGGTGGAGGAAGTTGCGGTTCTCTCCCTCGACGGTGGAAAGAGTTGCACATGGAAGCAACGACGGTGGAAGGAACTGCGCTCGAAGGCTAGGCCTTTGGATTCGTCCGTCGGCGATAGGGGAAGCCTCGGTCCTGTGTGCTGGCGGCAGAGGCAACGATAGAGGAAGTGTCAGTTGTAGAGGTAGAAGTTGCGCTAGGGTTTATGGCTCGGGGTTGCACAGGGTGCGACAGGTGGGTTTTGCTAACACAGTAAAAGAAAGTATATAGTTGCTCAATCGAACCAACTAGCTCCTCTTCAATTGAACCAATTAGTTACTGTTCAACCCAGTGATTTAAAAAGGCGCTCGGGCGCTCGCCTAGGCGCTCGGGCGAGGCGAGGCCCGAGCACCTCGCTAATCTCCCAGGCGGCACGCTTCAAACAGGCGCTGCCTGGGCGCTTCGGGCGAGCGCCTGGGTTAACCAAGGCGACCGAACCAGGATTTTAGCTCTGGTTCGGTCCTGGTTCGGTCTATGATGGTTAGTTGGTTCAATCGAACCAACTAAAACTGATATAAGTGACAACCGAACCCTAACCCTCGCCGCTGCCGATCCCGATCCCGATCTCGCTGCTCGCCATTGTCGCTGCTCGTAAACGCTGTCGCTCGCGCCTCTCGCTGCTCGCAAACGCTATCGCTATCGCCACTCGCGCCTCCCGCTGCTCGCCGCTCTCGCTGTCGCCGTTGCCGCTTCCTCTTTTCTCAGTCAGCAGGCTCAGCACCTCTTTACACTTCCTTTTAATAGTATACGTATACTGTATAATGTTAATATTATTAAGTTTATTTGAAATGATTAATTTTCAATACTGTTAATAGATTAATAATATATTATTTTGATTTTAATACTGTTAATTTTTATTTATTTGAAACTTTTTGTTAATGTGACATTATGATTTTGTATCTTAGATTTTCTTAATTTAATAACATATTTTTATTTAAAATTTTAAATAATTATATTTATTAATTATAATATATATTTTTATATTTTAGCGTCTCGCTTCACTCGAGCGAGTGCCTAGCGCCTCGGGCGTTTTTGGACCTTAGCGCCTTTTAACGCCTAGCGCTTTTTAAATCACTGGTTCAACCGAACCAGACTTAAAAGTCTGGTTCAATTGCTTCGTTTGAATCGGGCGCTTGCCCGAGGTGCCCAGCGCTTGGGTTTAGGCGAGTGCCTAGTTGGCTTTTCTCTGAAGCACATCGCCTAGTCAAAACTTGAGGCGCTCAGGTGAGGCAAGTGAGTGCCTATTTAAACCATTGGATTGGTTCACCCTTAACAATGTCACTGGCTTGTTCTGGTTGCCTTGGAAGACTGTAGAGTCACTAACTGAAGCTTGATTTTCATTGGAAAGTTTTGATGGTTCTTGTTCGACGATTTATACCAGAAATTGTAAATTAAGTTGTAGCAAAATCGAGGGGCTTTGTCTCTTACTGATCCACGACATAATTTAAGTTGATTACTTTTCTAATATAATACATAATATTTAATAGGGAAAGAAAAACTATATTTATATAGAAGAACATAAGGTATGTCTTGAGCCATCCAGATCTGGAAATTTTCCCCGAGAGATTTCCATAGCATCTGACTAGAAGAATATGGTGGCAACCATCTCTAAAGCCATTTTCACAATATCGTTATTTGGAATGCCCATTGGAAAGATGTTCATGTAGCATGGTCAGTCTATGTACTATCTGCATGTCAGAGTTGTTGGCACTTGGTGGAATCGAGCCACAAAGGGCTTAAATTTGAGTTCAATTTTGATCATGTCAACTATGCATACTGTATTGATGTATAAGCATGATAAATTTGGCATCTGATCAGCATAAATTCTGCATAAAACTAGTGTGCCAATCTTTCTTTCGATATTTGGCTTATCTCTATTAATGGGTAGTCTTTTAAAACTATATCAGTACTGAATTGATATCCCATGTATCTAGATAAGACAAATGAAAAGCACTGAACTGAAAGGGTGCAAATTGCTAATTTATTTCTTATCTACTGCTGTACTGTCTTTGTTTTCATACTTTCATTTGAAGATCTCTAGATGACTTGTTTTCTTTTTGTCTCTGTATGCAAGGTTTAGTGAATAGAGGGATATGCTGGAAGAAATGCTCTCTGTTAATCTATGTAATCGAGCCAAATTAGTCCAAAGACTCCAGACTATTAAGATATTGGATATTATTTGTTCAAATTTTAATCTTAACCTCCCAATACGGCATTTGTTGTTAAGCATAACTCTACTTAATGAGGGTAAAAAGTTTAGTGCTTGCCTTTATCTTTCATTTCACCCATATGGTATCAGCAGTTCTTTGGATTATTTTCATTATATTTCTTGACTACTTTTTTCTTAGATGGGTTTGCAGCTACTCTAAATGGTTACTTGTTCTGTATACAGGACTCATTTTACAGGGTCATCTGCTTTCAGCAGTGGATTTCATGTTCCGCCACCAAGATTGCTTCTATGATGTGGCACTTCTTTCCACTGTAAGTATATTTACCCGAAGTTCTTTGACATGCATACACTGCTGACTTTGTCTACCATGTTACTTCTGGCATTCACTTGCTTTTACTATTGTTCTTCTTCCATGGTGGAACAACAGATGGAGAAATTATCAGATATTGCAACTCACATCTATTTGTCTTATTTAAAAACACTATTAAGCCAAGACGTGTAGCATCTTAGCTGTGATCCCATTGTCTGTTTCATTGGCAACCTAAACATGTGCAGGTAGCAACAGCTAGCCAGTTCTTTATTTCTTACACAATCCGTACATTCGGAGCTCTTACATTTGCTACCATAATGACCACAAGACAAGTGAGTTATTCAAGGACCCTAGTTGTCTATTACATGATCCTTTTACTAATTCTGGCAATATTTTACCTTCAATGTTTGGACATTTTTTATAGTTGGTTAGCATATTGCTATCATGCATTTGGTTCGCTCATCCCCTTAGTTGGAAACAGTGGATTGGAGCCGTAAGCATTTTCGCACATCTATTCAATTTAATTGTTATTCGCATGATTGCTGAATAATGACATAGCGTTCATACCTGATCAGGCAATTGTTTTCGGCTCACTTTACACAAAGAGCTTCTTGAGAAGCAAACCACAGAAGCCACAGCCCCATGCTCCTGGTCCAAATGCAAGTTCAGGGAATGACAATTCTTGACACGCAATGGTGTGGCTTCTACTGCGGTGAGGAAAGCCTTTGGGTTTTACTTCATTCAAGTGATCCTTTTTCATCAGCTGGTGGATGGTGTGTTTTGAAATCGTCAGATATAATGAATTCCTAGCCAATACAAACTCTTACTCTTCTTTTATGATTTTTCCCCCTTTTTTTGGGATCAATGCAAAGGAAAATAGGAAAGAAAAGGGTAACAAGAAGATAGGAACATGTTGGCACACGTACACTTCCATGCCCACATCATATGTCATGTTAAAAATGTAAACTGGTTCCTCCATGCTTTTATTGTATGCTGCTGAGCTTTCTGATGGCGCTTTGATTCTAATGAAGTATAACAACACGTTATGGAGATCCATCCATGCATTTTCTATCACTGTGATTGATGATTTGTCAGGCTTCATCGTTTTTGGATGAATTTGGGATGCATAAATGTGCTACTTAAGACTCTGTTGAGCCAACTTAGATAGAGTGAATGTGTACTTATGAAATACTTGATAAATAATAAATAAAAATTATATATTAAATATATATTAAGGCAAGTGTTGTTTGATAAGATTTTATTTTAAAAGTTCATTTAATATTTTATGATTAATTTATATATATATATATTTAAATATTTATTCAACATAAATATAATTTTAAATAAATAAATGTGATATTGTAACATTGTATGACCAAAAATACAATAAATAATGATATAATCATATAAATAAAATAAAATTGTATTTTTAAAAAAAATCATGTTATATAAGATATTTAGATAAAATTATTTCAATAATCTTATAAATTTAGATATTTATTAAATTGTTTCAATAATCTTATAAATTTAGATAAAATTATAAGATATTTTAAAATAAAAAAAATTATATTAACATCCGATAAATATTGAAACACTAATGTTATCTCTGATAATATCAGCATTTAAGTATTTCTAATATAATATTTATAAACGCATCAATAGTCATATTGTTATACTTAAAAAAAAAATTATTATTATTATTATTATTATTGGCTTAAATGATCTCTTCTGAGGGCCGCCATAATCATGTGATGGTTGATAGAGACCATTGCTGACCCGTTCTTATCACCTGTAAAAGCATTCCTCAAAAGAAAGAAAAGGAAATTGCAGGAAATCATTTTGTTTATATTTGCTACAGTCAAAACCATAGCAGGACTAAGATGACGACAGATTGAGACCCCCCGCGGACAACAATGTTTTCTTCACGGGTGCCGTCTATCATAGTAGAGAGAGAGAGAGAGAGAGAGAGAGTAAAAAAAGAAAAGGCAACGATGGGGGAAGAGAACGGGACGAAGGGGGCGTGGAAATTGGAGTCCAACCTTGTCGCCTTCTTTAGGACTAGCCATCCGCCTACGAAACGTACCTGTTTGATGCTATCTCGGAGCGTCACCTCTGCATGCCCAAAGCTCGCCTTGTCCCGAGGCGGGCGACCACGTCTTCCGCCTTCTCAGGCTTGCGTGCTTCCTTGCTTCCTGTCATCTCTCGGTCGTCGCGCTGGCCCGTTTGGGCTCTCACCCTCCGGAGGAGGTATCTACTGCTCGTTGCTCTACGACGATGTACTATAGTGCGCTTTGTTTTCTGCCATCTCTGATGATTAAGTTACACATGCATGTCGGTAGAAGAATGATGAAGAAAGACGACGTACGATGGAAAGATGGAGATTGTGCAGCAAACGGTAGCTTTACGGATAAAGAATGCCGCTACAGAAGGTAGAAAAGAGAAGCTTCGCTTTCGTTGGTCGATCTCTTTTAAGCACCATATATAGTTGATTTATGATTAATGCTGATAACTTGTTCTAACTCGTTCCACCTCAAAAGATCAATCAAATCCAACTTCGTATTACGTAGCAAATGCGGCATATAAAACAGCTGCAACACTTGAATAGTTCGCACTGTCGACTTTTCTAACCAAATGCGTTCCTAGTAGAACCTCAACTTGATAGCCAGGTGTTAGCCTTTTGACTCCCACTCAATTGACCTTTTGTGTTTATTATGATCATAATAATTGGTATGTGTGTTGAAGTCAGTCACCATGAAACATATTTTAAGTATATTTATGACTTCCAGTGACAAAGTGATGAGTTTGGCAAACCTGTTTTACCAGACAAAGTTAGGCGTATGGCTACTGCCGAAGTCTCCGTGTGCATGTACTTGTCCTTTCGATTAAGCCAATCGACAACCATTACTTAATGCTTACGCCAATATCTTAGCACAATTGCATGAAGAACACTGTCTACTAATCATCGCCAATTGACGTTGTTAGGCTACTCACTGTTGCTGCACAGAAGCCTAGAGATGCTCCGAGGACTGTAGAATGAGTGCTACAGCACTGTGAACGTTTCGAGATGCTGATGATGACAAGTGACAAGCGATTGATTTGGTGCCATGTTCTCGATATGTTCTCAAGATGGGTAGCTGCGTCTCTGTCGTTTCTCTCGGATGTAGACTCGCTGACATGCTGCGTTTTGAAGTCTTCCGCTTTCCCCTGCACTGCTTTTGCTGCATCGAACCGAGTGAATCGTTCTTCGTTCGAGTAGTCGTTCAGCTCAGGAAGGAGAGTTCCCATTTCGCTCCCTCTTCCGTTTCCACTTCAACTTCCAGTTCATGCGCCTGAGCCGCTCTACCACGAGACGGAGTTTCTCAGTCTCCTGCGCTCGCTCCGCTTCCCTGTTCGGCTTTAATTGTCGTGCTTCATCGCATCCGACGGTGGAGGTGACAGGCAGAAGCTTCACAACCGTTAGATCTCACGTCTCACGAATCTCGAGGACGACATCATACTCGCTCCCAAGAACAATACCGAGGGCGGCACTTTTCCTGACCGCTTTTCTGGGCCCCGCGTGCGGGACCGTGGCGTGATCCCGTACCGAGGCGGGTAGGCCCATGGGTGACGAATTTACATGGAATGTTGCGTTCGGAGCTCCTTTCACACCTACCGCCATCGCCACGCGGTGCGGTGACTCATACCGGCCGTTAACCCTTCGCTTCCCCTCTGAAGTCTTCGAGCGTCTTCTTTCGTCTCTCTCGCTCGCGCTATCCGATCCCAAAACCCCTCGTTAATGCTCCGACCTTCTTCCTCGATCACGACGCGCAGCTCCGTCCTCCGTTCTCCGTTCTCCGTTATCGTTCTCGCCTCATATTCCTCTTGCTCCTCGGCTGATGTCGCGTTCCCGTTCTCGACCGAGCCCTCGAGGGACCGGTGCTGCGGGTTCTATGTGAAAGGAAGAACATTGGGTTCTCAGCATTTCGCGAGGAGAATGTACCAGAGTAGACGATCGCGACGTCGGGAGGAGCCCCTGGACGCGGCGGAACGTAGCCGCAGTCGGAATTGGGCGAGCCCAGCTCGTGCAGGAGGTGCCGTCTCTTCTCTTCAGCTTGTTCCAATCTGCTACTTTGCTTTGTGATTTCTTCTTTTTTTTTTTGCTTTCCTTGCGATGTTTTGGAGTCTCTGAGCTTACGATCCTCTGGATTCTGGTAAAAATCTCTGTTCTCTGACCGAGTCCGAGGATGCTTCGTCTTCATCTCTTTTTCTCACCATCTCGAACCAAAAAGCCGCAACCGTGTTCCGATTCCTGGGGTTCGATAAGGTTAGTAGATGAAAAAGAAACGACTTTTTTGGGGGTCCGGAAAGATGTGACCGTTCAAATCGGGTCCATCCGAGTGGTTCTAATATTTTCTTTGCCCAAGGCAGATCAATATGTTACACTTATTTGTCAAAGACATGAAGGACCACTAAGATGCCATGGTTTTGTGTTATTTCCATTACAAATTGTTTTCTTAGTTTTATAACCTTGCTTTTTATCTTATAGAGCATACGCTGATGTTTTCACTCTTAGTTGAAATTGTTTCTACTTAGATGAGGTTGGATCATTGCGTTGCGTTCTTGATTTTACTTTGTTTTACAATCATATATTTTTCTAAAAACTTATATTATCTGATTTTTTCGCTGATTACTGTAATTTCTGATCTCTTCAAATGGTCCCAAGAAAAAGAATATTTGTGTTTTTTTTTCTTTTCTTTACAGTTAACGTAGGCTTTATCTTTTTCAAGTCTTTCAATATTCTAGCTTAATGCAATATTCTGCTTAAGGCATTCAGTTAGAGAAAGATAGATCGTTCTGATTCTCCCTGCTACGGCTGGCAATTAAATGTATCTGTAGCATCCAAAGATAGATAGTTCGACTTTGATTTACCTGTAGCATTTAAGAAAAGAACATTTGGAGGCTGGTGCCTAGTTGCTCAATTTTACAGTGCTTTGTTTCGTTATCCTGTTCGGTGCTTGTGATGAACAGTTAACAAAAGAAAATATATGGCTTAAGCTATTGACAAACAAGTTGTCCAATGTCCCAAGTATCTGGGGTCAGCTACACGGATCCTTTCTGAATATTAACGTTACATCAAGTATGTTAAATTGAAGATTGTTTAGAATTTCTTTTATTTTGTGAATAGTCATGTTATAGCGGGTTGTAAAATTTGGTCCATTTACAGAGGTTTGTTTAAAATGTCACTCTGAAGTCAAATTCTTCTTACTGTCAAGTTGTAAAAATAATTAATAAAAATATATCTTGCTTTTATTTCTGATACATTTCACCTTTGCGGATTGTAAAGAACTTGTTATCAGTTGGGAAGCATGTCCTTTTTCATTCTTAGTTTTACAATTGTTCTTGGGCAGTGAATACAGACTTGGAAGAACATGTTACATCACAAAATTTATTGGATGTATTTCTGAAAATTATTGTTTTCTTCAGTCTTTTTATCGGAAAATAGTTTTCCACATTTCTGGTAATAGTTTCCAGGTAAATTGTCGTTTTCAGTAGAACCAGTTTGACTTTAATTTCTCTTGCGGCGTTTTGCTTTTCTAGAAGTACCTATGAATACTCTCAATGGATTTGCAATTCATAAGCTCTTTCTACAACTAGTGTTTTATCTCCCTAAATGCCAGATAGTTTCCTAGATGATAAATTTTACCTTCATTATTTATTTTCTGACCAGTGTTTGATATGACATGCAGTTAAGTTTTTCATATTCGAACAGTGAAATTTGAATGATCATCTTAAACATGAAATTCTTGTTTCAGGGCAGCATTTTCATATCAGAAGACGGCCAAATGCGTCGAGGGGTGCATTTAATTCTGTTGATTCTGCTTGTAACATTGGGTTTTCTGCAGAAGAAAATTCTGTAAGTTTGCATTTCCATGTTCAGGTTCTCATGGCATTGATGTGTTCTGTAATTGATCTCATTCCCTTGAGTCGCTGCAAGGTATTAAAATGTAATCGTTTGTTGGAGATAATGGCTGAGTCTGATGGTCTAATGTGAAGCATAAGCCTGAGTATATTCTG